TGTTATATATGTGGGATTCGTGCCTGGTAGTGGGATTGTTGGATGAAATTGTTTTTGTATCCCCAGCTTTCCATGGAAGCGTCAAATGGCTGACATGATGCATTCCCACTAGTGCTGCCTAAGAGTCAAGCCTGTCCACAACCTTGCCAGGTTTTATTGTTTGCCTCTTGCCAAAATTTACTATCGTTGCAAGGGTAAGATACCTCATTATTAGATGGAACAGGGATTCAGATCTTTTGTTCATAGGGTTGCTATGAGTCACACTTAACTCAACAGCATCTAACAACAACAACAATGAGTTAATGGGTAAGAAGTTGCACTGCCAACCCGAATACAATAAAGGAGGAGGAATTCATCTGGGGTTGGCCTGTTGGGGAGGGATTAGGATAATTAAGCACATCAGAAATTTTTCACGAATTGCACTGGGAACTTCTGTCAGGGACCTCTTCAGAGGGCTAGAGAGCAACGATGTCAGTCAGGAGACTAAGGTGCGCCTGATACAAACCCAGTTGTTGTTGTTGTTATGTGCCGTCGAGTCGTTTGCGACTCATAGCGACCCTATGTACAACAGCCCTAAACCCTGCTCTATCCTGTGCCAATTGCACTGCCTCTGACACACCCATCCTGATCACCCCAGTCACTGAATCAATCCACCTCATAGAGGGTCTTCCCCTCCTGCGCTGTCCCTCCACCCTCCCAAGCATGATGATACAAACCATAGTCTTTGCAATTACTTGCTATGCATCAGAAAACTGGAAAATGACTAGGAATGATAGGAGGAGAGTTGATGCTTTTGAGCTGTGGTGCTGGAGAAGAGTATTGAACAAACAGATTTAGCCTAGAGAGAGTGAAACCAGGCTGCTCCTTTGAGGCAAGGATTCTGAAGCTTTATCTGATGTATTATCGGTGTGTTACAAGGAGGGACCAGTCCTTGGAGAGGGACGTCACAAGAGAGGAAGACCCTTGATGAGATGGATTGATTCAGTGACTGGGGTAATGGGGGTAGGAATGTCAGAGACCATATTGACTCAGGACAGAGCAACGTTCAGAGCTGTTGTGCGTAGGGTGGCTATGAGTTGTAGGTGACTCAACAGCACGTAACAACAAAAACATGGCTGCCACCAGAAGTACTTTCTGGGCCTTGCAGGGAGCATGCTCAGATGACTGAGACTGCTGAATGTGTGTCTAATTCAGCAAGTTACAAAAACACACCTGTGTGGCTTAAAGATGGCTGTCACCACTTGAGGCACTTGGTCATCTGGGGTCATGACCTTTTAAGATGGCTGTTCCCTAGAAGGTCATCCAAGTGTCACTCCTGCATGACCCCTGAAAGATCATAACAGAGTTAAAGGTGGTTAGGGGAACACCTGCTGGTGCCTAGGTTACTCATTTAGGACGAGTTCTTGGAGGTTGAAATGCCTGCATTCACAGAATGCTGGCTTTCCTGATCTGTCTTAAGAGAACTGAGCACATCATGTAAACAGGGAGATAGGAAAATAAGGAAGTCTGTGATTTAGAACGAACTTAGGAAGAATTCAGTTAAAGATGAAAACCATTTTCCATCTTACTCATTTGAAAGGTCAACTTTGATGCGAGGTCAGAAGGTCTTATCATGTTAATAGAAGGGAGTGACTATAGATTGCTGGGTGGAAAGGCAAACTACAGCAGCTGAAGAATTTAAAGTTAATAAAGAAGCTTTCCTTCAAAACTGCCCCCTCCCCAGGGCAAAAGGATTTCTCCTTTTAAAAATGTTATTAAAGAAATGTTTCCTGTTTTCCTGTTGCTCCCTTGGCAACTGCAGAGGTGTGGCCCTTCTTGATTGCTGCCTTCTGGACTCTTCATTTTAGCCCAGTTTTACCTGTGTAGAAGCAGATGGAGGTTGATATACAGTCTTTTTTTTTCAAATGCTATAAAGTGTGGCCTGAGGAAGCCTTGCATCAGCACCAGCTGGGAGGATAAATTTCTGAGATAACTCACAGAGGTCCACTGGAGTTTAGATGGCAGGGCCCACAGGCTGGGCGAGCTTTACAGAGCAGGGGAAGGCCTTTCAAAGAGCCAGGGGAAGCCACTGGAGGGCTTTGAGCCGAGTAATCAGATCTCATTTACATTTTAAAAATAACACTGACAGCTGGCTGAAGAAGAGACCTGTAGGTAGATACCAGGACCCTGTGAGGGAACTATTTATTGCTGGGCAGGAGATGGCAGGGTTTGGTGTAGGATAACAGTAATAATATAGAGACTGGAGAACCATTTTGAAGATAGAAAAGCTCAGCTTTATTAATATAGTGAACGGGGCATAAGAGGCAGTGAAAGACGGCAGAGAGGGAGAGAGGTGACAGCTAATTTGCTAGCATCAGGAACTGGCAAATTTACTGAAAGAGAAAATAGTATGGGACAAGAATTTGTGAATGTGTGCTGTGTGTGTGTGTTGAGGCATAGCACATGTAAAAATGTCTTACACGTGACATTTTCTCCTCCAAAAATGTCAAAGACTCAAGTGGAAATAATTTTACAGCAAATACTTACATGCTCACCACAATTAATACAGAGTTAGGTGCCATCGAGGTGGCCACAACTCATAACATTCCCTATGAACAGTGAATCAACACCCTGCCCTGTCCTATTCTATGCATCCTTTAAGTTCAAACCAAACTCTGCCAGCAACTGCAGTCTAACTCAAAGTGACCCTTTGGCTTCTGCGCTTATGAATCTTGAAGAGGTTAAATTGCCCATCTTTCTCCTGCAAAGCAGCTGGTGGCTTTGAACCACCGACCTTCTCAGCAGTGCAGCACGAGCTTTTGTACCTGCTGTGTTGCTGCCGTAGGCCCAGTAGGCCACTATTCCTGGCTGCATTATGAACAACAGATTGCAATCTTGTTCAATCCTGCACGACACAATCTCCTCCACGTCCCAGCCTGTTGTTGAAGTCACCGTGTCAATCCATCTTGTTGAGGGTCTTCCTCTCTTTCTCTGACTCTTCACCTTTTCCATCTTGATACCTTTCTCCAAGGACTGGCCTCTCCTGACAGTATGTCCAAAGTATGAGACCAGGTTTCACCTTCCTTGTCTCTAAGGAGCTTTTTGGTTGACCTTCCTACAAAGCAGGCCCGTTTGTTCTTTTTGGTCCTTCCTGGGATACTCAGTACTCTTCTCCAACACCACAATTCAAAGGCATCAGTTCTTCTTCCATTCTTCCTTATTCATTGCCCAACTTTCAGATGCATGAGTAGCACCTGAAAAGACCGTGACGTAGACCAGACAGACACACCTTAGTCTCTAAACTGATATTGTTGCTCTTTTGCATGGTGGAGAGATCCTTGACAGCAGATATTTTTTAATGCAATATGTCTTTTGATTTCCTGTCTGCTGCTATCTTAAGGTGTTGATTGTGGGTTTCAGTAAAATGAAATTACTGTCAACCTCAATCTTTTCTCCAGCTATGATGTTGCATAATGGTCCAGGGGTGAGAATTTTTGTCTTCTTGGTGTCGACATTGAAGGCTACAGTCTTTGGGTTTCTGCAGTAGGTGCTGCTCTAAGTCTTAACTTTCAGCAAGCACTATCATAACAGGTTGTTGATGAGTCCCAATACTGGTTCCCCGTTCTTCTTCATAGAGTTCAATTTCTCAAAGTATTTGCTCAGCATACATATTGAGTAGTATGGAGAAAGCCTAAAACTGTGATAGGCATCTTTTCTGATTAAAAAAAATTATTATTATTATTATTATTATTATTTTGTGAATCGGATCCGACTGGTACAGGAGGAGATTCAGGATTACAGCGCAGCTTCTTGTCATTAGGCCATGACATCAATCAAAACGGTTGTATCTTGCAAAAGCAAGCTCAGCCTTTATTAAAAGTCAGCTGGGTGGCAGAGTGTGACCTGGGCAGAGGTCAGAGGTTGCATGAGGTCTTTGTGATAGGTTCTGTCCACCGTCACGTACAGCACTTGCAGACCATGTGTCACTGGGCTAGAGGGGAAGGCTTGAGGAGGCTCCTTCCAGGAGGTGAAAGGCCCCTGGCAGTGGGTGGTAAGGGAGGGGCCAGGAGGGACGTGTGATGAGGAGGCAGAGCGAGGGGTCTGGCTCGCAGGGTGGGACCGGGAAGCAGGCAGAGCGACTGCATGGGGGGGCGGGGACTGAGCGGAGGGGTGGCTTAGGATGACAGAAGGCGGGGCTAGAGCAAGGGGGCGTGGCCAGGGAGCAGTGGATTGGGCCGTCAGGCTGAGCTCGAGAGAATGGGCGTGGCCTGTCGGAGCTTAGACCAGAGGAATGAGAAGGCGGGGTTAGAGGGAGGGGGCATTGTCAGGCAGAGCTGTGGTTTAGGCCGGAGGCTTGAGGAGGCGGAGTAAAGGGAGGGGGCGTGACCGGGCGGAGCCTCCGCAGCTGTCGGTTGGAGGAGGGGGCGGAGCTAGATGGAGAGGGCGTGGCCGGGCGGAGCCATGGCCTATGGAATGAGAAGGCGAAGCTAGGAGGAGGGGACGTGACTGGGCTGAGCCGCCGCGGTTGTAATATGAAGGCGGAGTTAGAGGGAAGGGGCGTGGTCCGGCGGAGCCGCCGCAGTGGCAGGTTGGGGGAGGGGCGGAGCTAGATGGAGGGGGCGTGGCCGGCCGGAGCCGCCTTGGCGGCCTGCAGGATAAGGAGGCGTGGTCGGGCGGAGTCGCCGCTGTTGTAATAAGAAGGCGGGGCTAGACAGAGGGGGCGTGGCCTGGTGGAGGAGCCTTGGCGGCCTGCAGGATCAGGAGGCGTGGCCGGGCGGAGTCGCCGCCGCAGCCGGTTGGAGGAGGGTGCGGAGCTAGGGGGAGGGGGCGTGGTCAGGAGGAGCCACCGCCCTGGCCGGTGAGATGAGGGGCGGGGCCAGAGGGAGAGGGCGTGTCCGGGCGGAGCCGCCGCAGCACCCGGTTGGAGGAGGGGGCGGAGCTAGAGGGAGAGGGCGTGTCCGGGCGGAGCCGCCGCAGCGGCCGGCGGGAGGGGGTGTGTGCGCGCGGGTCACATGGTCGCCGCTGCCCTCCCCATCAGCCGCCCTCCCCGCCGCGGTGCGCTGGCTGCAGGAAGCCGCCGCGCCGCCGCTTTGTTGTCAGGGACCCCGGAGCAGCCCGGGAGCAGCGCGCTCGCCGGCCGCCGCCCGCCCCACGGCAGCCAGCCTTCCAGCCGCGGGACCCGGTTCCCGGGCGCTCCGTCCCCTTGGCCCATGACGGGGCTCCGCTATCACCGCAGCTTCCAGCCCGGGGCGGCGCGGCGCTGAAGCGGCGGCGGCGCTGTCCCCTCTGCGGGAAGCCGGCGTCCGCGGCGCCCACCCCGAGGGCAGCATGGAGGTGAATGCGGGTAAGAGCCGGACTGCGGCGGGGGTGCTCG